ACTGCCATTGATAGCGTTGGTCACAAAACTATTGAAGCTAACCAAGTCCAGTCAACTGGACTGAACAACGAATCAACGGAAAACAACCAACATAAGATTAATTGCGTATCAATTACAAGGACTACCCCGGTAGATCGTGAGGTAAAATATGTCCCTGAAATGAATTTCAAAGGTAATACAATAGTAAGTGATGCACATGTTTTCACGCCTGAGGGATTCCACTCAAAGCCGGACATCATAGATTTCGTTGACGCGCCAGCATTTACTTTTGTCAATGAAATGGAATGTGTAAAAGTCAACAAAGACTCAACACTTAAAACGTGTAATAAGGTCTTTAGGCACCCGGCGTCACTCGAAGCACACGATAATGGTCTTCCTATCGTAATTTCAAAATTCCTTAACCACAATGAAAATTACGAGTCACCTCTAAACGAATCGATTATTGTTAATGAAGATAAACAATCATTTTTTGCTTCTGTAAACACTGATCTCGCCGAACAATTTCGATTATCAAATAATCCGGGTGTGCGTAAATTGAAGGTAATAACATTCGTTTTATTTAACCACAACCATCGAATATGAGTAATACGTACAATGTAAAACGTGATTTATGTATACAATTGTTATTATGTCACAGGAAATGAAAACCATAGGCATGCTTACGGTTCCATCAACTGTCGAGTTTTTGCAACAAATCGCTGAAGAAGAAGAGTTAATATTGGATTATGAAATTGTCGAATGTTGCCAATTAACGATTAGTACGATTTCCATACCGACATTCATAGTGTAACATTAAATCATATTATTACCTATATACTTACAGGAAAAGATTTTATGGGTGTTCAACTTACAATAAATTATTGTGCACTAACGGTTGTTGGCTTCGGTGAAACGATACTTGAAAGTCAAGAAGAGGCGGCTTACGAGTGCTTGACTCGCTTCAAATTGATTCTAGAATATTAAAGTACAACCAAAGCAGTAGATGTCTTTAGTAAGTTTATACAAATTATTATAAACGAAGATAAAACTTAATCAAATTTATAATCGCTCATTATCTACTACGATTAACATTATGCGGTCCAAATCCATGGATTTGCAAAGTTGAAATTTTTTTTCACACCTTATCTATATGTTAAATTTATCCGTACATACTAATATATACAATTGCATTATAATAGTGTTGAACGAGAGAATGAAACAAAATTTCAAAAGTCCACCGACCGTCTGTGTTCGGATCACTCTGTTCAACAAAAACACTCGATAGCATTTAAAATTGTCAGCGTCAAAACCGTTCAAAAACAGTAGAAATTGAAAATATTTCTCAACACATTATGTAATGTACCTAATTATTCAACCCACTTCGGGTAGAATATCTCTTTCCTTATGTACATTTTGTAATACAATCAATCGTTAAAAAACTCTGTGTAAATTATTAAATAAAACGACAATGAATGTTTATAATTATTCGAAAGCTATATAACGTAATCGTAAAAAATAATCGTACGAAGCGATCGATACAAAGTCAATATAACTGCGACCAATCGTAGAGACCTATCGAATTCGTATGCACCCGATGACTTTAAACTTAATGCTCGGAGCGGTGGGTGGGGGAACATCACCGCGAGACACTTCCGGGTTCGCCGGTGATGCTAAACGACGAAGACGACCGTTCGGTGGTGACTTTGACGACGTTATCACGGACGGCCGATTGGTTAGCGGTGCAGGCCGATTTCTCGTGCTCGAGATTATGTTTTCAGATTGCTTCTCTTGGACTGCGTTCAACGATCGCAGCGGAGTAGTTCGCTAGTCGTCGTTACCCCCTTGGACACCCCCGTCCGGGTCTACGGACGCGATTTATGTGTACGCGCGGGGGATGACGAAAAAATGGCTCACGCTTCCGAGCTGCTCGAGAGCGAACCGACACAACCCTTCTTCTCTTCTCAGAGCGCGTACAGCACTTTCTGGCACGTTGCCCCGTATGTAAATTCTAATAACGCTGTCACCCATCGTCTAAACCTCTTTTTGTAGTCCGCGAACATATTACATTACATATTCACCATATTATTATTATTATTATTGTTATTATTGTGCGATAGGGAATATCCGAATGCGTATTACGCGTGCAAAGACCGACCGTTTTTATTCGTTTTTATTTTGTTTACCGCCATATTATTATTATTATTATTATTGTCATTTTTTTGATTTCTAACGTTTATCGACAATGGTTTGGTGTCGCGCGGGATCGTGTGGCCAAGGCATCGAGAATTATATATGTTTATATTTGAATTAATAAACCGAGAAATATCTTACAAGCTAAAGTTGTGTACGGAGGAAACATGGATTCGCTCACGAAATACACATTGTGTATAGAAATCCATAGATTTCAATACAACCAACATTGTTATTGGTTCGACAATAGCACGAATACGTTTTGTATATATACGAGTATATAAAATATGAACTGTTTTGAGATAAAAATACTATCTTTATAAATTGAAATAAATAATATCAATACCCGTTTTAAAATGTATTCAATCTATCTGATAAATGTATCAATATTTTTAAAATTATTTTACATTTATACGTAAAAATGTTAAAAAAATAATATATCTGTTAAAAAAAAAAAAAAAACAAAAAAGATAATAAAATAAACATGATACCGTTCAACGAATTACTAATACACTATATCCTTTAAATCACTGATGTAGCCAGAAAAATATTTTTTGTAGAAAGGGGGGGCTAACATTTTCAATTGTCTCCTACAATAAGTGCTAACTTTATTTAACTAAATTAAATATTTAATAGACATAATTATTTATATTATGTATGACATATTTCAATAAATTGTCCACGATAACAAGTCTTTGGCTATTAACTTAGTGTTTGGTAAGGAATTCAGATTACTCGTATCTTATTTAATTGGTAAAAGTGGTAGTTCATAATTATCAGAATATAATTTATTTCAATATATAATACCTATGTGGTTTGTATAAATCATTTTTCTTATGACTCTATTGGACAGCATAAAAATATCAGTTGTGTACAATTAAAAAACTTGTGTATTAGAATAAAATGCAGAGCCTTTTACGATATAGTAATGATGTCAAATAAAAAAAAGGACAAAACACAAAAACAAAATTTATCGATGATGATCAAAACTTCTATAAAATTGCAAATATGTGAGTGAGAATAAATAAATAAAAAGTAAAGTACTTATGAAACCGTTAAATTATGAATTAATTTAAAGCGTTATGAATCTAATAAGGAATAGCTACCTAAAAGATAATTAACACTTATATATTATAATTTTGTGTAAAACCCGTGAAAATCTTCTTGAAAGCTGAAATAGGATGAGAAAGAAAACAGAAAGTAAAACCTTTTAAATATATTATTAACTTGATAACTTGGTGCTGTGTATGTTTCGTGTCCAATTTTATGGTTTAAATTATATTATAACTAAAATACGTGTTATATGGATTACAGTTAGTAAATGTTCGAAATCTTATTTCGTTTAAACTTTGACTTTTAATAATAAATTGCTAACTACAGCTATAATATGTATATAGTTTTATTGAATTTCTATCGTATTGGGGTTTGCTGTTTTGTCACTGTTTATTATTAATGATATATTTACGTAGCACAACATCAAGATTAAATTTCATTTAAAACTTTTGGAAGATAAACGTAATGTTAATATTTATTAAATATAATAAGTAGTACAGTCGTTGCCAGATAAATTGAGACGGCGGCGGCGACGCTTTTCATGAAGTGTAGCCCAAACTAGTCGCTGATAATGTGGTGCAAAGGTCTTACAGTTAGCTACGACGCGCGCAGTTACCAGTTCGAACCCGGCTTAGTGCAAAAAAATTGTCTGCAGAATTTTCTGTTCTCTCTCCCGTTCTGGTTGCCCTACACTGCTAAAAACAACTAACCTAACCCGGTGTGTTTTGACCGCGCAAGCACTTCAGTCGTATCAACAATATTTGTTTATAATAATGCATATAGATGTTGTTATTATTTCATCATATTATTAATATTATGTGTTATTATTATATTAATTATATTATTTTACAATTTCTACTTTTTGTTCTTAAATAAAAAATTATTATCAGAATATATGATTTGAAATTAATATCGTAAAATATTTTTTGTAACAATAGTTGGTTTATTGATATATTTTCAGTAATAATATTGAAATACGGAGGACCACTGGTTTTCCGTTATCGCGCCGCCGCCGCCGTCTCAATTTATCTGGCAACGACTATACTTCGTTTCCTTGAAAACGGTTCATTGAAATTCTAGGGCGTGTTAAGTGTGCTGACTTTACGGTAGGAAAATGGAATTTGCAGGTAAGGGGTGAACTCGCAAATTCTCGCAAATAAAGACGTATCGTTTGGTATAAATCTTGAAGTTCTAGGATGATTTGGAGGGGCTACGTGAAGTTGGCCCATCCTTCTGTTATTTTTATAATTCGCAAACAACTTACTCGCAAATTTTGAAAATGAACTCGCAAATTCTCGCAAAATATGGGTATAAGTTTCAAGTTAATCCGTGAAAAAGGGTGGGCCAACTACACGTACGTGTAGATTTGTACCGAATCAAATGCAATTCGAATTCTGTTATACATTTTATAGTTGCCCGTCGTTCTAATCCAAGTCGAAAAATGATCATTAATGTTAATATCGTTATTGATAACGCCATCGTAATATATTATCGTTTACCAACATAATATGTTAAGCCATATTTATTTATTATTTTTTTTTTTTTTTATTAGAAGTAAGGCTTCAACATCATAGGTCATTAGCCCAGTATAAATTATAACAGTATTAGAAATAGTAGAAAACAAAAGTAAAATTACAAAAAGTATTTGAACTTAAAAAGTTGTGCTTCATCCATATTAGAAAGTATTGCTAGGTTGCTTCTTATGTCCCGGTACTTGATGCAATTGATGATAATTTGTTGGACTGAAAGATTAGTGTGGCGTTCGTCACAAGTGGGTGATGGATCTTTGCTAATGAGGAAATAATGGGTTAGAGATGAATATCCGATTATGCATCTCGTGATTGTAACGTCCTGTCGTGTGTTGAGGTAATAAGGTGTGATCCATTTCTTTGTATTTTTTTTAATTGTTTTAAGTTTATTAGAGTGGGGGGGGGGGGTGGTATCCTAATAATTTTGTCATTTGGAAAATATTTTGTGTTTGATTGATGTTTTGATGTCATTAGTCGGTAGATTGAATATAGTTGGATGGGGATAATTCTAGTTGAAAGGTCGACTGCCTTGTCAGCCATTTTGTTGCCAGTTATACCTGTGTGGGATGATATCCACATAAGTTTAATGTTTTTAGAGGTCGATTTTAATACTTTTTGGATATTTTGGGTGATTTCATTTGAGGGTTGAGTGTTTTAAAGGGCAAGTAAAGCACTGAACGAGTCGTTTATTTTATATATTTATTTTATTTGAATTTTTAAATGAATATTAACTTTATTTAAAAGTAATTTATTTGATAACTTGCTGTTATTATTGTCATTGGGCTTCTTGTAAATTGAAAAATTTCTTTCGACTATAATAAGTAATGTGTTTATTATCTTTGTTCTATTTTTTGATAAACTAGATACATAGGTCGATTCATCTCATATTCATTAGTTTATCAATTTAATAGATTACCTACTAAATTTGCAAATTTTAAATGAACAAATGTCGAAACGCATAATCAAATACCTTAATATTTTAGAATTTATAGATAAATGTCCCTGACTTTTTAACTCTTCAAGTAATTTTTTTTACTTGAAACTCTTAAGGACGTCCTATGTTTTATAATTGTCACGCAGTCAATCACTATGAAATCGATTTAAGCAGATGGGAACCAATGATCTTCATACGTTAGTTTACTACGGTGCATTCGGTACACATTCGAATTAAAACATTAATTTCAATTTCAAACGGTTGTATCGATTCGTAACACTAATAATTAGTTTATTGATATAATTTAATTGTTGTACTATTAAAATAAACTTTAATTTCCTATTGATATGGATTAATTTATTTAATTTTAAAATTACTGATTGACCATGAAATCGTCTATTGAAAACCCTTTCAAACCAAATGAGTCGGAGTACGTGTTGATGAACGAACACATCACGCAAAAGTAAGTCATTCGCACCATCAAAGTGTTAATCGATTTTGAAAGTTTTGCTAATTCTTTCGTCTGTCTGTACGTTTTCCAGAGCTGAAGGCATTTATTATTTAAACGCGAACGCGAAGAAACCATACACCAAAGGTTTAGTGAAGCCCAAGTAGAAGTGCATACATGACATTTTAAATATAATGTTGTTGTTTTGTTAATTGGTTTTTTTATAACATGGCAACGGAATTCTCTAGAAGTAGTACTTGCTAGGCGATCCACACATTTTTAATACATATAAATTAATTTATATAGACTAATGAAATTTTGTATATACATTTGATAAGTCTGCAAATAGGTTCTTATCTATTTTTTTCAATTCCTAAGTGATATTTTTTAAAACATCGTAGTTTAATTTAATAATTTTTGACCCGGTTAATAACTGCAAAATTGAAAATAAATTATAAAATTATACTATTAAAAACTATGAAAAAACTATTAAAAAGTATTTAAAAGCTATTAATTATATTTTTTGGTATTAAATGACGGTTATTGCATAAATATTAAACAACAAGATCCAGCAACAGGTGCCAAAGCAATAATCATGCTAACACATTAATTTTTAATGTTTTAATATTTTAATCACCACTCGTTTTTACATTTGCAATCACTAGCAATCAATATCCATAGCCAGTGGTTGAACTAATTTTCGGCGAGAAATAAAAATGTATACAAGATACCCACCACCCACCCAAACTCCTAATCAATCTTAACAGCATTCAATAGCTACAATTAAATTTACCCGTTGTGGATCCTATGAAATTTTGTAAGGGCATCTGTTCCCCCCCGTTGGCTCGGGTTAACTAACTTAGTGAAGTTAGTGCTAACTTTCTTTTCTGTTTTATTTTATCGTTGTAAAAACTACTTTTATTATTAAGATTGTGTTATACATTTATAATATAATCTAAATCTTCTCAATATTCTCTATTTGTTATGTAAAGATAATGTTTTATTCTTATTTTTTTTTTTTGT